GTGGCGGCGGGGGGGGGATGGGCGACCCTCCCCCAACCAATCAATCAATCAATCAATCAATCAATCAATCAATCAATCATCAATCAATCAATCAACCAATCAATCAATCAATCATCAATCAATCAATCAATCAATCAATCAATCAATCAATCAATCAATTAATCAATCAATTAACGATTTTTTTTTCTATTTTTTTAATTAATTTTCACACTCGTAAACAATCACCCCCCCCCAAAAAAAAATAAAAATAAATTTTGAATGCGCAGTCCTCTAGAGGAGGACGTGCGCAGGCCGAGGCCGTGGACCGATTTCCCGCACGCCCCCTTGGCTGAGCATGGCACGAACGCGAAAAAAGTCGGCCGCGCGGCCTCGGCCTCGGACTGGGCCGCAGGATCCGCGGCCCAGGGTGCCAGGTAGGCGGACGACGGCCATTTGAAACAAGACAGGTTAACGCGGCTTGCAGATTGTCTTCGTGTGTTGTTGAGCGCGTGCATGTGGATCATGCGCATGGGTGGCGATGACGATCGTTCGCACTATGAGGCGGGATTCTACACATCAATGACCGCCAAACCCACTCTCATAGCCGCGGGGTCGTTCATCTTCAACTGGAGGCGACACATCGTTGACACCACCAACCTCGTGTTGGATCACCTCAGGAAGCCCCACCTTACGCAGAGAGAGTACCCACATTGCATCCCATAATGGGTTGATTGCGGGTTGGTGTGCGCTCACAATGTCGCCCTGAAAAATGCAGCTGAAGCCGCAAAACACGACTGGATCGTCAGCGGTCCTCAGGCGGATGAAGATGGCGGTGACGGCAAGTGACACGCGGGTTCATGTAGAAGGCATTCCGCCTGGGTGGTCGTCCTGCATGCGGAGGCTCTTCGATCTCCAAACGACGAAACGTGCGTTGTTGGGGGGGGGGGCATGGGACGCTAGTGGTGGCGGGGCGTTCGGCGCAGCTGTGTGGCTGGGTGGCGAGGGCGAGCGCGGAGGCAGGCCAGGGTGGGGGGAGGGGGGGGAGAGGTGGGTGGCGATGCGCTGGGACGGGTGTAGGTTCTGTTTTAGTGACGGTGTCGCTATCCACCTGCGCGACTTGTAAAAGGCGCCGCTTAGATGGTTCTTTCCACGAGCACCCACCGACACGTGCGCAAGGCGTGCGGCAACGTTGGCGGTTTGGCGGGGCAAGCCGTGGCTAGTGTTGCGGTAGTCCAACGCAAGCGTGGCCTGGAATTATTGCCTCCGAAAGGGAAGTCGCGCCCATGCGACCATCTTGCAGATGCTTCGGCTGGCAGTGACCTGGCGAATGGGGTCGCCTCGTAGACACTACACAGCGTAGTAGTCTTGTTTAGTTTACTTTTTTAATATTTGTTTTCATGTTCGGAGCGTGGGGGAGGTGCATGCGCCTCCAATCCATCCCCTCCAAATTCCCAACTTTGACCGCCCATGTCATGCATGTACTCTTCTGTTGTTTCATTCATTCATTCTCCCCCAGGAGCACGAACTTCCCTGCTTGGCGGGCTGGGCATGCCATGTCCGGTTGCGCCATCACCTCTCGCCTCACCTTCAACCTCCGCTCTCCGCAGGTGACCCTCGGCATGCGTTCTGAAGTGTGTCAACCCAGCCCCCACCTTGCCTGCAGATGCATGCCCTCCGCCATGACGCACCGCACTGGTCTGATGTGAATGAACCTGCGTCGACTGTCGTTCGGAAAGGGGTGATGGAAACACCTCATTGGATGTTTGTCCCCCCCCCCCCCTTCCGTGCGAACGACGGCGAGAGGTTCGGCATTGTTGGGGGCCGCTGGAGGGACCCCTGCGGGACCGGGGACTGATCCGGGGAACCCCTCACTCGCACATCCATGCGACGTGACCTTCCCCGATGATCGTATGAAAGGTACGACCATTGTCCCGCGGTGTTTGCTGACACTGAACCTATGCCCTGTTTGGCAATGTCCGACAACAACATTCGAGCGGCGCCAGATGCGGACGCCTGGGTGTTCATGCCGCCATTGTGCTGAAATTGGGCACAGATAGCCTCAGGATATTGAAAGTCGGGCCCTTGCTGCGACAAGTGGCTCCACGACGAGGGGGGAAGAAGTCCGTCGAACCTCCGTTGCGCAGATTTGCTCCCCTCTCCCCCCAGTTCGTGATAGTTACACGACCCCGCTACATCGTCGTACAACTCGTCAGTGAAACTGCGACCATCCATGGATGCATCCCACTTTCGACGATGCCATTGCGGCACAAGCGGTTATCGGGTAGCTGAAAATTCAGGAATGAAAATTCTGAAGTGAGAGTTTTGGGCAGTCTGAAAATCCTGAATGGTCCTGAAGTGGTGAAAGGTTCGAAGACCCTGAAAACCACCTGTTGAGGTAGGCTGCATCTTGAAGTGGTGAAGAGTGTCTTGAAGTGGTCAAGTGAGAGTTTTGGGTAGTCTAAAAATCTTGAATGGTTCTGAAGTGGTGAAAGGTCCGAAGACCATGAAAACCACCCTTCACAACTTGAGGATGCAGCCTGCCTAAATAGGTGGTTTTCGAGGTCTTCGGAGCTTTCACCACTTCAGGACCATTCAGGATTTTCAGACCTGAATGGTCCTGAAGTGGTGAAAGGTCCGAAGACCCTGAAAACCACCTGTTTAGGCAGGCAGCATCCTGAAGTGCTGAAGGGTGTCCTGAAGTGGTGATGAAAAATACGACTGTTGTTAACCTTCTCTCCAGCAAGGCAAGGAAAGCTAAAAATGTGGATGCAACAATCACCACCCCCCAAACAAGCACGCTCAACAAAGACAAGTGTTGGTTGTCGTCGTCAATGAGGACAATCACAATGGTCGCCCAATTGGATGGCAACCGATCCGAACCTTCCACAACTTTCTTGTCTACACAGGGAAAGCGATGCACAGAAGCCGGCACCGTTGCACCGCCGACAGACGACCATCTGTCGAATGCCCACACACGTTGGCCGTGCCGCTCTGGCAAGCGATCGTCACGCACTATGATGCGGTCAGCATAACGTGGAACAACACCTGCCACGTCGGCAACATCCGGTATCAAGCTCCGCCTTCCACAGCAGACGAATCCAGGACGGATGGCACGGAGCACTTGACCACCGATGTCCACCGCCACAGGGGTTGCCTTGTGCATGGAAGATGGGCGAGTGACAGAGGCACATGTTTTAGCAACAGTGCTCTGCAAACACCCAACAGTGTTCAGGACCGTTCTGCGGTCAGACGGCCTCCGGACATGCACGCACTTACCGGCGATGGCATGTGCACGTCGTCCATGCTGCAGGACGACGATGCAGTTGGCGGAAGACGTGCATGGAATCCGGTCGGCAATGGGGCGACGATGACAGAGGCACGACCGACCTTGGGCGATGGCTATGAACACACGCTCGCATGTAGATGATCGTCACAAAAGCTTGCAGGCTGCGTGATCCGGTGGGCAATGGGGCGACGACGACAACGACATGCAGCCCCCTTCATTGGGGCACTGGTGCCGTTTTTACTTCAAAATTCAAATCGGCGGACTGTTTTTCGCTCGATTTTTGTTTTTTTGCAGCCGCACTGGATGGAAGGCCCCGGGCCCGGTACCGCCGTGCGACAATTCGCTTCACGGTCACATGTTCCACCGACGTCGGACATTGAATGGACGAACAATCCGTGGTTCGTCCACGGGACCTGGTTTTGGAAAAGTTCAAGACGGCTTTGGGGCCAACCTCAGCTTTCTGCACAAATTTGCGGCGTCATTTCCTCCGCTCGCCGTTTTCCAGATCGTGGACCATGTGAAAACGTCCACAGGCGATCTTCCAGGCCATGAAATCCGAGTTGTGGGGTCCCGGAATACAGTTTTTGGAAGACATTTCGGCCTTTCCATAAACTTTTCCACGAGGTGTGGGACCCCACAAACCCTTCCGCGCAAAGAGTTTTTCCTTTCCGCATTCTTGTGGGGCCCTACCCTAAGAGTTGGACCCCACAGGACCGCGGAAACGAAAAACTTTGTCGGAAAACTGTTTCCAGGACCCCATAGTCTTTTTTTTTTTTTTTTTTTTTTTTTTTAATGGGAACAAGGCTCCAGTCTATTCGTGGGGAGCAGCACGTGCTGGGAACCGGGCGCAGCGTCCCATATGGAAGCTTACATAGAATTTTGAAAATTGAGATACCGGGACCATTACCCGGTTTTGGCTCAGAAGCAATTGAAGCTGCTTAGGAAATGACTACGACAAACTTCAGAAATAAGCAGAACGACCGAGAAACCCCCCCGTCAATCCTCTTTACCTCACTCCGGCAAGACTTACTGTAGCAGAACCACCATCTCTGCTGCTGCTATACCCTATTCACATCCTACCAGCTAGCCCCCTCACTAATAGGACGCATGATATCCCACCATCTCCTTCTCCCACTCACCTCGTTCTCTTTTTGAGACACCTAAGAACAGTAGCAGTAATTCAGGAGGCATGGGAATAGACCGCGGATGTCCTACAAATACTCCGAAAACCTCAAAATCCCTAACAAACCCTTCCAAAGTTCTTCAAACTGTCTTACTTCTTGTCGAGCTCTTCCAGGCCTCACACCCCCACATCCTGCTGGGTTACAGGGCAACACAACTCACCCCAGCTTCGACCAGCCTCGTCCCGGCAACAACCTTTGGTTGTCCCGTGGAATGCCCACCCTAAAGCATCCCCAGATCTCTCTACCAGGCCTCACGTTCCTGCTCTGCAGGTTACAGGGCAACACCCCAGCACCGGCCAGCGTCGTTCTGGCATCCATCAAACAGCCGTAGGTCACTAAGTATGACAGGCGTCGAAGCCACCTGGGACGAGTTGATAGGGATCCCAAAATCCTAAAAACATTCTAAGGACCACCAAATGACCAACTTTTTTTGGGATTGAAAAAAACGAAAAAGCTTGGAAAAATATGAGAGCGGGGGGTCAAATGAACCTGCCTACTATCCTAAACTCCCCCCCTCAACAGACGGAACGTCGGTCCACGCGTTCAGTCCTCGTACCAGAACTCGTTTGATCTCATACCCCCTTCTGCTCGGGTAACAGGGCACCACAACCCTCCCCAGTACCGACCAACCTAGTTCTGACGGACAGGAAGTGTCTTCCTCCCTCGACAATTCCCTTAGTGGCAAACCCCTAAACAAGTTACAGGGTCAATACCCCGGCGCCGGCTATGTCGGACGGCCTGGTTATGCCTTCCACCCTCGGCATAACTCCGCAGGCCTCAAGCTCCCCCTAGGTCACAGAGCAAAAGGTCTCTGAAACATCTTTTGGAAATTAAGATTTAAAAATTGAAAAACAGAAACGAAAATTAGGAAATCTCTATGAAACATCTTTTGGAAATTAAGATTTAAAAACGAGATTTAAGAAATATATCTACGATGTCTAATATTGGACTCACGAATATCTGAAATCAAGAAAATAGTCCTGATCGTAGTTAAGGTCATTGTTAAAGGAAGCAACTATGTGAGGAAGAACATACTCTTGAATAGGAGTTTCAAGAAAAATCACTGCGAGCGATATCAAGAAATATCAAGGAAACGAAATACTATCGAAAGACTCTCGAAAAAAAAAGTCAGCAAAACATGTTGATAATCAAGCGAAAACAAGTACAAAATCATACCAGTCAATCGGCCTAGAGAAAAAGGACAATCGAAAATCATGAAATGAACTCGCAAGTTATTATCAATGGAAAATCAACACGATTTAAAAAGTTTGGTTATGAGGATATTAGTAGATTTCAAATTATAAAACAACTAAGCCACATGTGGGTTGAATTCCAAATCAACAAAATAACCTCATGTCCCTTCTTCTTCAACCCACCACTTACCTCCCACCCCTCAAACCCTACCCCTGCGCCCTTGGGGAAGGAAAGACTCCCCTCCCCCCTCTGCTAGCTTCTAGGCTCAAGGCAAAACTAACACCAAAGACATGAACGACCATCTTCAATTCCTACCGGAAGTCGAAAACAGTGTGGCACCCCCTCGCCAAACCTGTTGACGAGTCGCCACAGGGGTTCCAACAACACCCTAGCTAACCATACGGTTGAAGAAGAGGGAAGGGTCTCGCCCACCGCGTCGCCTCATCCGCACAACCATAGCTTACTTAGGTAGGCTTACCTTCTGGGCGATAGATTAGGCGGAGAGACGTCGAGCAGATCGTCGGGCTCAATCTTCATGGCGGCAAAAAAACCTTCTTAGGCCAGCCATCGACGTGAATCGTAGTTGGAGAAGAAAACGAAGACCGATGATTCGCAGCAGCAGCCTTCCCTCCTCATGTGCTTCTGATTGCACGATCCTTGACTTGCAGCAGCAACCTTCCCTCCTCATATGCTTCTAATGGCACGATCCCTGGAGAGCGCCCAAAACGATGAATGAAAATTCACTCAACAATTTTCCGTTGATCCGCCTTCCAAAGTTGACTAATCACTTGGCGAAGTTGGCGTCACAAGCGAAGCCGTAGGCTGCGCATACTGTTGCACTACGAAGAGCTATCTCCACCGGCACGTGTCATCAGAATTCATCGGCCAAGAAAACTTGCAAAACGCCTTCCTCTTCGCCTACCTTTCCCACTTTCTGCAGTTGGTCCCCCCCCAACTTTCACGCAGCAAGGAGCCAACTATGGAGGTGTACCTTTCTTCACGCCATCGCCTGCCACCGCGCCACTCCTCCAGCATCGTCCTACCGCCTCTCTACCCGCCGTCTATACCAGCGTGCGAAAGCACCCCGCATCAACTAGGCAGTCCCAGTCCGGTCGGGTGCAGCGCTCCCGGTAGCGTTGCGCCCGCAAATACAAGATCAATATTGGGGGGGACCCCACAGCCTGCAGAAGATGTCCATGGAAAGGTGAAATTTCTCCCGCAAACCGTTTTCCGGGACCCCACAGACCGAAGATTGCGGCTTGGAAAATCATAGTTTTCAGTTTTCACATAGTCCGTAGCCTGGAAAGCTCTCACGGGAGGATTCCTCGCAGCAATTTTGTGCCAACTCTAGAGGGTAGGGGGGAGGGCGTGTCGTTCCTGGAAAAGTCTGGGAAAAGTCTCACGGGAGGCAACAGCCAATAGCGACCAAGAGTGCCATGAAAAAAAAAGAATAAACAAGAAAACAAGAACAAAACAAATGAGTGTCGTTGGAGAAAGGCAACGATTGGCTCAACTGATTTCCAAAGGGTTTCCACGGCGCATTTGGTCCTCCGCGGTGGGGTCCCCGCAAAACCTATGAAACCGCGCGTTCATTGAACGCGGGTTATTCCGTTCAAAAACTGAACGGAATGCACGCGCCTGCAATGAACGCGACTGAACGCGGAGTTGAATTCCGCGGGAAAAAAAAAAAAAAAAAAAAAAATCTCAAAAAATTCCAAAAACAAACTATGTTATGAAGAAAAATAAAATAAACAACATTTGCCCGAGCATTACATCCAAATTCGTTACCAAATTGGAAATAAAAATAGAAAACAAAAAATAGAAAAAAGCAAAAAGAGAATTGAAATTAGTGAGTGCGCGAGTACGTTTGTGACACCGCCATCTTTGGCGATTTTTAATTGTTTTTTGGCAGAGCCAAATGCCCTAAAAATTTACAGATGTGTACTTCACATTATACAAAACTCATGAAAAAAGTGTAAAAAAACAATATTTTTTTTTAGCTGGCAAAATAAAGTAAAAACAGAAAATAAAAAGAAAAAAAATCAGTGGGCGAACTCATAAAGAACTCGTAGAGAACTCATAGAGAACTCATAAAAAAATGAGTGGGCCCACATCATAGAGAACTCAAAAATGAGTGGGCGAGTGATATTCCGTAATAGGGAACCGGTAGCACAGGTCCATGTGGGCTACTGGAAAACTTTTGTTCCTGCCCCGGTTAACGTTCCTTCAGTTCGCCCATATAAGGGCCCTATCATTCCCTAAGATGAGGCTCATAATGTCGAGCTACGTAGCACCGTGTTCGGGTTCGGAGGCGAACGCGAACATAATCGCCCGAACACGAACAAGCGCCCAAAACCCTCCGAACACGAACATAAAAAAAAAAAAAAAAAAAAAAAAAAAATCTCAGAAAAATTTGAAATATATGTTATGTAAAATAACAAAACAAGCAACTTTTGCCTTGGAGTCATGTTCAAATTCGTAACCAATCATGAGTTAAAAATCAAAAACCCAAAAACATTTTTTTTTTTTTTTTTTTTTTTTACGAAAAAAAAATATGTTCGCTCGAACATGTTCGCGAGCTGTTCGCGTGAACGCGCGAACACGTTCGCGCGAATATGAAGGGGTGTGAACACGTTCGCCGTGCTACGCAGATGTCGAGGTCCGAGTAAAATTTATTGCGGAAGAGTCTGTCATTCCTCAATGTCCAAATAGCATGCACAATCGTCGCTCTACATGAGATGGCTACATAGCTCCAGGGTTGTCCCACTTCTCGTGCATCAGCAACCATCCCTTCCACAACAAAACGTTCATC